AGCCGAGGCTTGGGGCTTGGCCCATTGATCCCCAGTCCTACTTGTGCCACTGCATGAACAGTGAATGCTTCAATGTCCTGTAGAATGAAGGAACAGCAGATGTACACCAGTCCTGTTTCAGAAGAGATCTGACTCATTCTCCTCTTGACTGCACGCACTATCAGTGTACACCTTCTAAAGTCACTCCTGCAGGTACGAGTGAGGAATTCTCTGATCGCCATGAGTTTATGACAGTGTGTTCTCTGACCCTCTGTGGGGATGTAGACTGGGTGTTTAGGACGATGAGATTCTAGAGCTGGAAGAAATCCTCTAGTTCAGCTCCCTCATCTTACAGATGAGGAAATCAAAGTGTCAGGTCTAAGGTCACTTCTTCTCAACTGACCTCAGTTTATAGTGTAATAGTTTATAGAATAACAGCTTACAGGTATAAACCAGTCACATATTCAGCAGGTGTTTCCTTGGAAGCTATTCAGCCTAGGCTTCTGGGATCAGTGCTACCATAGGGTCTGGGGAGGTTAATGGACCTTTGCATATAGTATATTCTCCTGCCCTCTCCCTGGCTCTATTCCCACACATTGCTCTCTCCTCCTAAGGTGGGGTGACTACTATATCGTAAAATCTGCCCCAGATGACTTTGGCTTCACTAAGAACTGACTTCACTGACTAGGGTTCACATGGGATGTCTCTATGTGTGGGCAGGGTGATGGGGGTGAGGGGCGGGGAATCCTTCCCCCCAGCCGCATGGATTGGAACAGCTCGAAGGCCCTGGGGAACATTGCCATTCACCCTGGGTGAGTGGTGGAGTACAGGGAGCCAAGGCCGGGGATGGAGAGTCCCGCAATCTCACTTCTTTACTGACTGACGTTTAGGCCTGGGGTAGTAGCTGCTCTTGTCCTGTGTCCAGCACTCGCTTGTGATTTTACTGGTTGGGCTGTTCTGTGGCACCAGTCTGCTTCCTAGTTCCCCTGAACCATTTGCAGTTCTAAAAACTCAGAATTTTAAACCAAGTATTGTAATGGAACTGTAGAACTTTCTAGTGCTTTCTTAAGAAAGAGTTCATTCTGAAAGTAGCCTGTTATAAAAGTAAGTTTCATAATAATACTACCCCATCCAATTCAAAACTAGGCTGATCAATCAATTTTTGATTAAAAAACGTATAAGTGGTTATAAGAGAAGTTGGAAAAGTCAACTGTGGGACTTGAATGAAAATCTTGCTCATTGAAATAACCGCAGCAGGGTTATTCCCATCAATTGTATTTGTTCTATTCACAATTAACAGTACAATTTAAACTTTAAAAGTATTAAGGTAGTAGAAAACAGTATAAATAAAATTGGAATAAACATTTAATATTTTAAGGATTAAACATTTAATATTCAAGGATTATTAAATTGCTACTTGTTACATATGGACAATACATATTTCACGATAAGCTCAGACTATGAAATTATGTCCTTGTGTTTTCGTTATTTTCCATTTCAGTGCTTTCAGTACATATTGCACTTTTACCATATATTATTACTGCCCTTAGAATGTGCAATCAAACACATTCTGGATTCTTTCCAGAAACAAAAATTTAAAGAAAGAAAGATCAGTCAATAAACTTCATTATACACTTTCTATGTGCCATGCAATCTGCTATGCATTGATCCCTTCCCTCAAGGAATCTATAGTCAAATGGGCAGACAACGTTCAAACAACAATATAAAGAACAAGTTGTTTATAGTTGTATACAGGATAAATTAGAAATAATCAATAAAGAGATGGCCCTAGAATCAAGCTGGATCAGGAAAAGCGTTAGAACTTGGAAAGTTGGGGAAGCCAAGAGACGGAGAGGAAGGAAATCAGTCATGGAGGACAGCTAGTGAAATGCCCGGAGTTAGGATGTAGCGTGTCTTATGTGAGGAATAGCAAGGGTGCGAGTGTCATTGGATCTCACAGTATGTGGCAGGGTGGGGTTGGATGAGGCAGGAAATGACTGGAAAGGAGGTGGGGAGGCAGGCTATTAAGGGTTTTGAATGGCCAACATATTTCATAATGGAGGTGATAGGGAGCCAATGGAGTTTATTGCTTTGGGGAGCGGGGGGAGGTGTAGTCAGACGTGTGCTTTAGGAAAATTAATTTGATAGCTGAGTGAAGGATGGACTGGAGTGAGGAAAGACTCGTGGTGAGGACGCCAACCTCATTAGATTATAAGGTACTTGAGGGCAGGGACTCTCTTTTGCCTCCATTTGTATCCATCCTTAGTGTTTAGCACAGAACCTAGCAAATATTAAGTACTTAATAAATGTTTATTGATTTATTCCACTACATTCATATGCTACAGTTTTTTTAGCTATTCTCCAATCAATGGGTATCTCCTTTATTTCCAGTTTTTTGCTATCAAGAAAAGTGCTGCTATAAATATTTTGGTATATACATGGAGACTGTCTACCTTTGACCTCTTTGGGCCCTGTGATGAGTAGTAGGCCTGCTAGGTCAAGAGTATAAACAGTTCAGTGACTTTTCTTTTGTAGTTTTAAATTATTTTCCAGAATAGTTGCACCAGTTCATACCTTGACCAATGGTATGTTGATGGCCCTGTCTTCCCACAGCTCTTCCAACTTTGGCAATTTCTATCTGTTATCATCTTTGTCAATTTGATGATATGGGATAATGCCCAAGATTTTTTTTATTTGCATTTCTCTTATCAGTGATTTAGATAATTTTTCATATGGTGGTTGATAGTTTATATTTCTTCTTTTGAAAACTGCTCATATACTTATCTGTTGGAGAATGGCTCTTGTTTATATATTTAGGTCAGTTTCCCATATATTTTGGATATCACATTTTTACCAGTTACTTGATATAATTTTTTTTTACCCACTGGACACTTTCTTTTATTCTGGCTTCATTGAATTTGTTCACAAAAAAACTTATTCATTTGGGGTGATTGAAACTGGCTGATTTATCTTTTATGATCACCTCTATCCTGCACTTTGTTCATTTTTACTACCCAAGTCACAGTTGTGAAAATTATTTCTATCTGTTCTCTGATTTAAAAAAAAATTCAATCACTTTCTGTAGGCCCATAGGTTAGAGTTGGAAAGCATCTTAGAAGTCATCTAGTCTAACCCCATTATTTTACAGATGAGTAAACTGAGTCCCAGAAAGGCCCAATATCACATAGAGGCAGATCTAGAATTTGATGATGATCTAGTCCAACTCATCCCTGATGCAGGACTCTGCTGCCATTTCCTCAAGCAAGAAGTCATACGACTTCTGCTTGGAGGAGAATTTCTCAGGTGTGCAAGTTCTAGACCTCCTGACCTTCAGAGCAGGCAGTGAACAAAATAGCATATTCTTTAATTAGTTTGTCTTCCATCATCAGGTGTAGTTAGACACATATCAGGAATGAAGGGGAGGAACCTGTTGGGTTGAAATACAACTAACTTTGAAGCAAACATAACCATATGGAAGATGGGTCAGCAAATCAACTTATTAAGCACTTAATATACCCAGTACTATGCTAAAGATTGGGGATGCAAAGATAGGCAAAAAATAGCTCTTGTCCTCAAGGAATTTACATTCTAATGGGGAAGACAATGTGTAGAAAACTGAGTGGATCCATGGCACATAGAAAATAGATGGAAGGCTGTCTGATCAGAGAAGTCATTGACCGCTGGAGTGGGAGGCACGGTGGAAAAGGCCTCGTGGATGAGTGGGATTAGAGCTGAGTCTTAGAAGTCAACGAAGCTGGATGGTGATGGTTGTGAGGACAGAATGCTGTGGTTTGTGTCACTAAACCTGCTTTAACTCCAAAATGGGTCATGTTCTCCAGGGTAGGAGACTTAAAGTAATCATTTATGCTTTCTATGGACTAACTTGCTATTAAAACTTTGAATGAGCCTCTGCTCTTAAGTCAATTTTGTAATAAATAGTCATATAAAAGGAACCATGAAGACTTCTGACTATAAATGATCATATTTATACCCACATGTAGCACAGTGGATATGAGCATCAGGCCTGGAGTAAAGAAACCCTTAGTTCAAATCGAGCCTACTAGCTGTGTGACCATGGGCAAGTCACTTAAGCTTTGCTTGCTCCCATTTTCTCCTCTGTGAAAGGGGGTGATAACAGCACCTGTCTCCCATGATTGTTGTGAAGACCAGATGAGATAATAATGTAAAGCGCTTAGCACGGTGCCTGGCACATCGTGAGTGCTATATAAATGTCAGCTATTGCTACTATATCATCATCAGTCTTATTATTGAGGCTGATGGTGGTGCTGAGTCTATACCCAAGTTCTGACCTAGCCAGCATTTAACACAATGCCTGGCACATCACAGGTACAAAAAGTGCTTTTGTTGAGACTTGACTTGATTGAGACAGTCATGTGTTGAAATAGCAGCAGTAATATGAGTAAGAGAGTTCTATAAAAACTAAGTGAACAAAACTGAGGAGTGTCATGCATTTCAGCAAGAGAGCTTTTCGTGAGAAGGCAGCATTGTCTGGCTTCTAAAGGCAAGATTTAATTGTGTCAGCAGATCAATTAGTCTTTAGGGACTTTAAGCAGTCAAATCTCATGTGTGGATGAAGTATTAGAAAGCTTGTGCCTACAAAACCATGAGTTCTTAGTGTCTACATAGCATTTCTGTGTATGTGTGTAAATACTGATGCTGCTAAAGATTTCCATTAATGTCTCTTTACTGTGAGGGTATGTAAAATATAGTTTGGTTGTTTCAAACATTCTAAAAGAAGAGCCCCCCCCCCGCCTTTTTCGGATAATCTTGTTATTTTTAGACAGTTCCTGTTCTACTGTAGAATCATAGACTTAGTTTGTTCATTTGACATTTTCTCCTTTGGGAATCACTCATTGAGTTATCTTACTTGTGGGGAAGCAGTGAATTTGCCTTGACTATTTTATCTGTGTCCTGTTGTTTGAAGGCTCTTCTCTTTCCATTTTCTCTGCAATGGTGCCCTCTGAAACATTTTTGGAACAAAGAATGCCCTTCTCTTCCAGATATACATCAGGGGATGTGCGGTTGTGGGACACCCGCACCTGGGACTACACAGCCCCCATCCTGGAACCAATGCATGGCGCTGCTGAGCCTGGATCTCAGCCACATGTCTCCTTTGTGAGGATAAACAACTCTCTGGCTGTAGCAGCTTATGAGGATGGTAAGTAACCACAACCCTCCTCCCTATTAAGAAAAAAAAAAGCTTTACAAAAATTAAGCAGCTGTGGCTAGCTCTAACCCCCTGCCCCCGTAATCCTCTGTACACACACCCTTGCACACACATGCGTTCACACACATACACATACATTTACCTTTATGTGGAAAAGTTGGCCAATAACCCTAAATGCATTAGCAGCATTGGAACATAGCACCCATTAAAACTGGTGTTTGATTCCTACTGGAACTGTTGCATTGAATTTAAGTGCCGGGCAGATGTCTAGCCAATCCATCTTAAGCAGATAACTTGTTTGCTGTAAAATATTAAATATGCTTTGGCCTACTTTACCTGAGGGAATCGATTGGTCCAAAGGAAATGGTGTTTGGGTGATAGACACAAACTCTTTGAGACTATGGACGTGGAAGACTACAAATGAGTCCTTTCCTCTGCTCAGCCCTTGCAATGATGTGAAATTGGTTTTCAGCCTTTCCAGGTTCTGATCTCCATTATGCTCAGTGGCTCTGCATAAGTCTTGCTTCACTCACCTCATGGGAGACCATATAATATTTCACAGTGTTGATCTTCAAGCTAGAATTCCACTTTTGATTTCCAGGCAGTGCAGAGAACAATACTGTTAGCTGGCTCAGGGGATAAAACTGAAGACAGGCAACTAATGGGGAGCCTTGGACACACATGTTAGTTAAAAATAAGAATGAAAACGAGAGCTGAAATGATGAAAATATTTCCATCTCAAGTTTTTATCAGCATGAACTTTGTTCTTGTGGTTTGATATTGGTATAAACCATTGATGGTCTGGCTGGCTTTTTTTTAAGCCTTATAGAAGTAGCCCAGCTAAACTGCTTCTGCTGCTATCATTATTATTAATATTTCATAAATGCTTATTGAGGCGCTGCATAGATGCTGTAGCTTTCTGTGGCAGCTTGTGCTCATCTGCTATTTTCCAAATGATTTTTTTTCCCACATAATTTTTTGATGCAAATGTTGCAGTGTTCTAAATTTACTTTGGTGGTTCTAAAGCAGTTTGTGATGGCTCTTGTGTCTCGTAGTGCCGTTAAGAACAGATGACTGATTTGTTTAAACTTCTCTCGTTGATGCACGAGTAGTGAGGTCTTCATTTCGTATCTGTGGCTGAAATTGGCTTCATCAGTGTTTGACTGCTCTTGCCACTGAACGCATGGATGCATTGCAAAATTATGAAGAAAGTGTTTCCAAAGCTTGTGAAAAACTTTCTAGATTTATTTCTTTTTTTCAAAAGCTGTTGGGTTTTCTCTTCTCTCTCTTTGCCTTTGCTCTTCACCTCTGAACTAGACTGAACTAGCTGAGCTAAACATCAGCTGCTCCATACTCTTCTGCAGTACTCACATGTTGTCACCTAGCTCAGATCATATTAACAAATTAATATGATGTTAATATGATTAATGGCCAAAGACAATCTGAAGTGAGCACTTAAAATCAGATGTATATTTTATCTTGCCTTTGTCGAAGATAGCTGAAAGAAAATTCGTAAAAGAGGTAAAATGGGGCAGATAGGGAGATCACCTCATAGGGGCTGCTCTTGGGATTTTGTCTCTGTGCCCTACAGGAAAGAAGAGAATCATAATAAAATGGACTGTTGAAGCTCAGCTAGATGGTTGTGCCAAAGGGAACCTTGCAATCATTGAGACCCAGTTGAATATCTACATGCACTAACCACAGAGGAATCAGATTCAAAAGAGGAAGGGAGATGGAAATTGTACTGGGGAGAAAGTAAGTCACCCCCACTCTTTTCCACTCTCATTGCCCAGTAGGAACACTGTACACACACCTGGGGCGTTGAGATTTGGCAAGTTGATCCACAGTTGTGATTTTTGAATTCCAACCCACTGGCCTCATCTTTCTTCTGCCTTGTTTCCGATTGTCAGCACTGGCCATTCTCCAGTTTGATTTTACCACTAATTGTGTTGCACGTTACCGTACTGAAATGAATCAAATCAAAATGCTTTTCCTGGAGCATTAGATAAAGCAGGCGAAGGTTCTGAGTAATGAGCAGATGCTGCTAATGCAGGGACAGCAGAGACCTTGCCAGGACTCCATCTGCTCCACGCTTGCCTGACTTTGGCCAGGAGCCACCACTTTGGGGAATTGTAGTTTACTTGAAACCCCCTCCCTGTTCAAAGAGTTTGTCTTGAAAACTCATTCTTTGGTGATGAGAATGCACACATCTTAGGTGAAAAAAGTTCTCATTTTTGTATGGAAGTGGAGGAGGGAAGAATCCATCCCTCTTCATATTTGTATATTGATAGAGCAGGCAATAGGTTTTTTACCTGCTGCTGTGGAGCAAATCCAAGTGACTTAGCACTTTCAAAACTCTGCTGGTACTGTCTACTCACAATCCCTCATTCTCTCTCAACTTTTCTCAATCTCTCTCTCTCTCTCTGTCACACACACACACACACACACACACACACACACACACACTCATGCCCATGCAGCCAGTTGTCGATAATGGTGCCTATCTGTGGCCTGAAATGTCTATTATGTCTCATTATCTGACATTTTAACAATGGATAATGTCTTTGAATGTCTCTTTGATTGTGTCCAGCAGTACTGTACACGTTTTGGATAAAAATCTTAGCTTGAATGTTATGGAGGATAGGTCCTCCGGAGATTTATTTTATAATCCTGTAGAAGTGTCAAGGTTTTGAAGAACATTTTGGTGTTGCTGAAATGAGATAGTCATGTGGGCTAACATTAAAAGATATCTGACTCATGAAAGTGAACATATATTTTCAGAGTTACATGTAAAGGTGCCTTTTAACATAAGGGGGTTAGTCAAATTACCTTTAATAGTAGAAATGGTGTTCCATAGAAACATAGAACTTTAAAACTAAAAGAGACTTTACAGCTTTGTCATCTTGTTGTAATCTCTTTTTATAGATATGGGTATAGAGGCCCATGGAGAAGGGGAATGACATGTCTCCAGTTGGACAGGGACCATTTTTGCTTGACTTGCCAGTTTTATAGTTTGTAAGACATAAAAATCCTTTGAAAGACCAACTGTGGGCATATTTAAAATGTCAACCTTTTCTCCAGAATGGAATCGCTAGTGCTTTAGAAGAACATTTTAGGTATGATGGGGCCTACCAATATTGCCTTTGTTTCATGAGATTTGAATTTGTCTATCACCTAAGCATCACAGGTTCAGCCTCCAAGAGCTACAAGAGACCTTAGGGGTCACTTAGGCCAAAATCTTTGTTTTTCAGTTGAAGACACCGAGGCACAGATTGTTTAAATGATCTGCCCAAACTAAGGCCTATCCAAGGTTGTACAACCAGTCAGTCATGGCTGTGCGCCATGTTATCTAGTCTGCTAGAACAGAACCTTGTTGGAGGTGGCAGAGGCAGTTGCTGGCATAAACCATCTCTCATGTTTCTTAAGGAGAGAATATTCAAATTAGAGTTACTTATTACTTGTGTTCCCATGTAGTGTTGCCTACATGTAAATCTTTTGGTTAGCAGAAGGCTCTAAGTTTTTTTTTTCCACCGCTGAGTTTTACTGCTAAATTTGTGAAGTAATCTTGTAGAAACAGGATATTGATCCATTCAAAATGACTTGGTGATGATTCCTTGGCTTATTGCAGTGGTTTTGCTAAAAATATAGTTTGGTAATGTTTGAAAGTAGAAGGAAGGAATAGCACAAATTGGCTTTCCAGAGGTAATCTAGAGGAGTAAATTATCAGAGTCTTTATGTTTATTTATTTTTTTAAATTTAGTATTTTATTTTTCCCCAATTACATGTAAAAACAATTTCCAACATTTGTTTTTAAAATTGAGTTTCAAATTCTCTCTTCCTTCCACCCCCCTCACTGAGAAGGCAGGCAGTTTAATATAGGTTATACATATGGTAGTCATACAAAACATATTTCCATATTAGTCATGTTGTAAAAGAAAACATAGACCAAAATTTTAAAACCCAAGAAATATAAAGTAAAAAAAGTATGCTTCAATCTGATATGACTCCTTCAGTTCTTCTGGAGATGGATAGCATTTTTCATAAGTCCTTCAGAGTTGTCTTGGATCATTGTATTGCTGAGAACAGCTAAGTCATTCATAATTGAATAAAATATTGCTGTTATTGTGTACAGTGTTCTTCTGGTTCTACTCATTTATTTCACTCTGCATCAGTTCATGTAAGTCTTTCTAGGTTTTTCTGAGAGCATCTAGCTCATCTCTTCTCATAGCACAACAGTATTCCATCACAATCATATACCACAACTTGTTCAGCCATTTCCCAATGGATGGGCCTCAATTTTCAATTCTTTGTCATCAGAAAAGAGCTGCTATAAATATATTTGTACATATAGGTCCTTTTCCTTTTTGTTTTTTCACTCTCTTTTGAGATACAGACCTAGCAGTGGTATTGCTAGGTCAAAGGACTGAGCATGATTTTATAGGCCTTTGGGCATAGTTCCCAATTGCTCTACATAATGGTTGAATCAGTTTACAACTCCACCACTAGTGTATTAGTATCTCAGTTTTCCTCCATCCCCTCCAATATTTGTCATTTTCCTTTTCCATCCTATTAGCTAATCTATAGGTGTGAGAAAGTACTTCAGATTGTTTTAACTTGCATTTCTCCCATCAATAGTGATTTAGAGCATTTTCTCATATGGCTCTAGGTAGCTTTGATAACTTCATCTGAAAACTGACTGTTCATGTTTTATCAATTGGGGGAGATAGCTCTTATTCCCATAAATTTAACTGATTTTTCTATGTGTGTTTGAGAGGTGAGGATATTATCAGAGAAATTTGCTTCAAAATCTTTTTTCACAGTTATGATTGCTAACTCTATTTCCCTCCATCCTGTTTCCCCTCCATTTATTCTATTCTCTCATTCCTTTTACCCTGTCCCTCCTCAAAAGTGTTTTGCTTTTGACTGCCATCTCCCCCAATCCACCCTCCCTTCTATGAGTACCCCACCTTTCTCTTATCCACTTCCCCTCC